CCTGGTTTACAAGATAATGATTTTACCTGCCCAAGATTTTATGGGGCCGTAAGTGTTACCCGCCAGCACAAGAAGGTTAAATTTAAATTTCCTGGGTCACATGTGAGCAGGGGACATACCCATAAATTTCAGCTTTTTAACTTCCGTGGTTCTCGAGATAATGATTTTATCCGCCAGAAATTTCCGAGGCCGTTCTTGTTATCCGCGGGTACAGGAAGACTGAATTTGAGTTTTTTGGGTCGCACGTGGTCAGGGGGCATACCCATAAAATTTCGGCTTCCTAGCTTCCGTGGTTCCCGAGATAATAATTTACCCACCAAAAGTTTCATGGGTAGAGTACCCGAGAGCGTCGGAACACTGAATTTCCGAGACTGTACTTGGGCAGGGGTCATTACTCTAAAACTTCAGCTTTCTAGATTCCGCGGTCCCCGAGATAATAGTTTACCCGCTAAAAACCGGGCCGTATGTGTTACTCACGGGTACAGGAAAGGTGAATTTGAGTGTTCTGGGTTGCACGTGGTCAAGGGAAGTACCCATAAAATTTCAGCCTCTAGCTCTCGTGGTTCCCGGGATAATGATTTTACTCGCCAAAAATTTCACGGGGCTGTACGTGTTACCCGCTGGTACAGGAAGATTGACTTTGAGTTTCCTGTGTCGCACGTGGTCAAGGGATTTACCCATAAAATTTCAGCTCCTTAGGTTCCGTGGTTCCTAAGATAATTTTCCCCGCCAAAACTTTACAAGGCCGTGCGTGTTACCCGCAGGCGCGGGAAGGCTGAATTTAAATTTGGGAGGCCGCACGTGAACAATGAATATATCCATAGAAGTTCAGCTTCCTAGATTCGGTGGTTCCCGAGATAATAATTTTCCCCGCCAAAACTTCTACGCGATCGCACGTGCTATCCGCGGGTAAGGGGAGGCTGAATTTAAATTTGCGGGTCACACATGGATAGGGAACATTCCCCTAAATTTTCAGCTTCCTAGCTTTTGTGGTTCCCGAGTTGAAATTTGTGGACAATTTGGTGCAAAAATACACACAAACACAGACAAACAACTCCGTGACATATGCGTTTTGTGCAGTTATTGCACAGCACAAAACGCATAAAAAGCATAAAGAAGCGAAAGCAAAAAAAATTGCAGCGCGCACCGGAATAGTCAGTGCGATCATGCATTTTGTGCAGTTCCGTCCAAAAAACGATTGCCTGTTAATGATTTTCACTGCTTTGCATTTTGGTTTGTGCAAAAATAGTTGAAATGGTGGAAAATAGTTAGAAATTTCACGCATGAGCACGCGAAAGCGAAATTTGAAACCTCGAAGATGAAATCCTTCCAAAATTCCAATCTCCTAATGTTCTGGCTTTCGAATGATTTTTGAGACAAAACTTTCAGGGTGGTCGTACTTGAGACTTCGGTATTCTCAAGAACTAAAAATTTCAGGAGAATTTTTAGCCCTCTGTCTCTTCTGGCTCCTAAAGTAATGATTTTCTCACCAAAACTTCCAAGGAGACGTTGAAAATTTGTGGAGTTGTACGTGGGCAGAGGATTCCACGATAAAATTCGAGCTTTCTAGCTTTTGCAGTTCACGAGATAATAATTTCCCTGCCAAAACCTTTATGGATCTGTATATGGTACCCAGGGGTGCGTGAAAGCTGCATCCAAATTTGCGAGGGTTACACGTTGATAGGAACGTCGCCCTAAAATTTCAGATTCCCAATTTTCATGATTCCCGCGATAGTAATTTACCCTGCCGAAATTTTCACGAAGCCGTATGTGATATCTGAGTGTGCTGGGACACTAAATTTGAATTTGCAAGATCATGCGTAGGCAGGGGGCCATCGCCCTAAAACTTCGGCTTCCTAGATTTCGTGGTCTCCGAGATGATAATTTACTCGCCAAAATTTTCACGAGGCCACAGCGGATACCCGAAAGTGTGGAAACGCTGAATTTGAATTTGCAACGTCGTACGTAAGCAGGGGGGTCATTACCCTAAAATTTTAGTTTCCTGGATTCTGTGGTTTCCGAGACAATAATTCCCCCGCCAAAATTTTTACGGGGCCGTACGTGTTACCCTCGGGCAGGGGAAGGCTGAATTTAAATTTTCTGGGTCGCATGTGTGGAGGGGACAATTTCACAAAATTTCAGCCTTCAAGCTTCCGTAGTTCCTGTGGTAACAATTTTACCCGTCAAAACTTCTACGGGGTCGTACGTGTTACCCACGGGTATGGAGAGGCTAAGTTTAAATTTGCGGAGTTACATACGTGGGCGGGGAACGTCCTTCTAAATTTTCAGCTTCCTAGCTTTTGTGGTTCGCGAGTTGAAAATGCGGGACAAAATCTGCGAACACACACACACACAGACACAGACAACCCGTGAAAATATGCGTTTTGTACTGCTGTTAAACAGCACAAAACGTATAAAAAGGTCTGAACCTATGAGTAAAAGCAGAGGAAGTCTGAGCATGTGTGGATAGAAATTGTCATATAAAAACCCATTCTTGCTTCATTTGTCGAGCAGCATTTCGCTTATTTCGCGAGCGTTGTCCAGAGGGAGAACATGATGTTCAAGTCATGTTTTAAATTCGAATTGCGAAAAATCGCTTCCCCAAGACGTTTCGAGTGGCCCAGCTCCCTTTTTATGCGTCTTTTGCAGCTATGCAATGCAAAAACGCATATTGACGATGTGTCTGTGTGTGCGTCTGTTCCGATTTTTCATCTCAAGACCTATAAAAGCTGCAGGGCTGAAACTTTGGGAATTTAATCTACATGCACGTACGGTCCCAATCCCCAAAATGAGCGCCATTACCTGCGTGGTACCCACGTAAGAGCCCGCCAAAATTTTTTTCGCGAAAGTTCATAACTTGGGGATCTGAAAAGCTAAAATGCCGAAATCTTAGGGCAATGTTCCCCGTACAAGTAGGTGTTAATGCACTCAAACCCATCCCCCGGGTAAGCGTATCCGCGTGCGGGCCCTCCAAAATTTTTTTCGGGTAAGTTCTGATCTGAGAAGGTAGAAAGCTGAAATCTTAAGGGGATGCTCCTCGTCCAAGTGAATATTAATGAGCTTAAGCCCATCCCCGGGTAAGCGTGGCATTCACGTTCGGGCCTGTGGAAGTTTTTTTTCGGGTAGTTGATAACTCAGGAATCTGAAGAGCTAGAAGGCTGAAATGTTAAGAGGATGTTCCCCGTCCAAGTGGTATTAATTTGCTCAAATTCAGCCTCGGCTGCGTGGTGATACCACGCACGGGTCCGCCAAAGTTTTTATGCGTTTTGTACTGTGTAACATCGTTACAAGACGCATATCGTCACGGGGTTGTCTGTGTGTTTATGTGTGTGTGTGTGTGTGTGTGTGTGTGTGTGTGTCCCACATTTTGTACCGCACTTTCAACTCGGGAACCACAAAAGCTAGACGGCTGAAATTTTGATATAGTGTTCCTCACCAACGGGTGACGCGGCAAATTTAAATTCAGTCTCCCCATACCCGCGGGTAACACGTACAGCTTCGTGAAAATTTTTGAGCGGTAAATTAATATCTAATAAACCACTGAGTCTAGGAGGCTGATATTTTAGGATAATGATCCCTCGCCCACGCTCAACCTTGCCCATTCAAATTCAGTCTTCCCGCACCCGCGGTTAATAAGTACGGCCCCATGAAAGTTTCTTACGGGTAAATTTATATCACAGGAACCACGGAGTCTAGGAAGCTGAAATTTTAGGATAATGACCCCCTGCCAACGCTCAACCTTGCTCATTCAAGTTCAGTGTTCCCGCGCTCTCGGGTATCACCTACTGGCTAGTGAAAGTTTTTACGGGTAAATTAGTATCTCAGGAACCACGGATTCTAGGAGGCTGAAATTTTAGGGTAATGACCCCCTGCCCACGCTCAACCTTGCTCATTCAAATTCAGCTTTCCCGTACTCGCGGGTAACACGCACGACCCCGTGAAAGTTCTTTACGGGTAAATTAATATCTCAGGAACCACGGGGTTTAGAAGCTGAAATTTTAGGGCAATGACCCCCTGTCCATGCTCAATCTTACCTATTCAAATTCAACGTTCCCGTCCTCTTGTGTATTACCTACGGCTTCGTGAAAATTTTGGCGAGCAAACTATTAACTCGGAAATCACGGAAAGAGATTCACCCTTCAATGTTTCGAATTCAGCTTTCATACGCTGGTGCAAACTATTAACGCGGGAATCACGGAAAGATATTCATCCTTCAAGGTTTCGAATTTAGCTTTCATACGCTGGTGCATCGGGAATCACGGGAAGATATTCATCCTTCAAGGTTTCGAATTCAGCTTTCATACGCTGGTGCGGGGAATCACGGAAAGATATTCATCCTTCAAGGTTTCGAATTCAACTTTCATACGCTGGTGCATGAAATCGAAATCACGGAAAGATATTCATCCTTCAAGGTTTCGAATTCAGCTTTCATACGCTGGTGCGTGAAATTCTCTATTTTTCAATGTTTGAACTATTTTTGCATAGACAAAAGTACAAAGCAGTGAAAATCATTAATAGACAATCGTTTGATAGGCTGAATTGCACAAAACGCATGATCGCACCGACTAGTCTGGTGCGTGTTGCTATTTATTTTCGGCTAAGTTGATGACCCGGGAATTTGAAAAGCTAAAGGACTGTAATTTTAAGAGGATATTCCCCGTTCACCTAAGTCTCGCTGAGCTCAACCCAGACTTCGGGTACGCGTGATACTTACATATGGGCCCACCAAATTTTTTTTCGTGTAATTTGCTAACTCAGGAGCCAGGAAAGCTAGAAAGCGGAAATTTTAAGAGGGTGTTTCCTAACAGTTCTGGCGGCCAATCTTAACTTGTTTAGCTAGGAGCATTTGCCGAAAAAACCGGTGCCGGTAGTGACAAAAACTGCGGGGAACTATGTAAAAAACGCATCTTCGCGCGGGCAGTCCGTGCGTTGGCCAATTATTTATCAATTTTGTAGCAGCGCTTGGTATTTCTGTCGACAGCTATTCCTTTACATAGAAGATGCCACGAAGGAGGCTTTTGCTTCGCGGAGTCCCTACAATCATTGATGATCTCAGTGGGAATGCGAACCAGGTATAGACTTTTAAATTTAATTAAGCTTCGCAGAATTTCTTTCAGAACTCCAATAAAGTTCGGAAAAATTCATTTCCAAAAGATCTGGGAAGATAAAAGTGATTGGCGAATTTTTGACTGATTACGTATGATGCGATTTTAATATTTTAGCACCCGAAAATGAATCTACAAAAGGGTAGTATGCTCAGTGATGAGGCGAAGAAAGAACTGAAGGAGCTGTGGCAGCCGCTAGAGGATGAATTGCAACGGCTTTCTAATGCGCAAGCCAGCAATCCAGCTGAAGAGGAAAAAGCAGGGGAGGAGATGCAGGACCAGATCAATGAGGTTTACTTTTGTTATCGCTCATCTATTCTTTGATTTCTCATACATTTTTTTAGGAAATTCTTACCTCCATCGTCGTCTGGCGTTTTGCAGTGGCTGGCAGTTTTACGCGATCAGTTTATTCCTCAGTCCTGCACAGAATACTTTTTCTCTTTGAAAATGACACAGTTTTCAAATCTGTTTTTTTTTTTTTTTTTGGAAATTTTTAGGAGGGGAGTGAAGCATTGTCATTGAGATTTGACCAACTGTGAGACAGCACAACAATTTTCTCTCTTCCATCGCACGACATTTTATTGTCGCCATTTACTAAAACCCGGCTTGGCTGCGCAATATACGCTCATCTTTGGGTCCGGGTTCAATCTGCGAAAACCTTGTTGCCGGGTAATTTTCTAAGTGTTGCGTTCAACAGTACTGATTTCTCCTCCACGTGAATTTTCCAACTGAGCATAAAAAATCTACATAGGTCCCTCCAGCACAAACCCATAAAATCTAACCGTTTCCAGTTCCTATGCAGATCTCAGCTGTGCCCCTCCCATCGATTACAGCCCCCTACACTTAAAACACCACTCCCAGTCCACAACCTCCCATTTCGAATCCTCTTCCCCCTCACTCGCAAGTCACTGCAACCCGTCTCCCGGCCGACCCAACCCCAATTTTAATAGTTAACCTTGTGGCGAATTTTACACTTCACTTGTTCACTCAGTTATTTACTCGCTCTTTTATTTAATTACCTGATTGCTTCCGAATTTTATATGTCGCCTGGTCATTTAGTTGTTTCTTTTTGATGCGTTTTTGCATATATGCAAATGTGAAAACACATTTCGCGACGACCCCAGTGTGTGTGTGTGTCCGAGTATTTCAACTCGGCACCCAAGCAAACTCCAGCGCCAAAATTTTGCGGTGGATTCCCCGGCCAATTGCCACCCCATGACCGTGGTACCAGCCTTCACGCAAGTCTGGGCCCTACGTACGAGAGGGTGGAAGTTTTGGGGTGAAAATCGCTAACTCAAGAACCAGAAAAGCTAGAAAGCTGGAATTTTGAGGTTATGTTCCCCGTCCACTTGGAACTCAAAGATTTCAAATTCAGCCCCAGGTGTGCGTGGTACCCGCGTATGGCCCCATGAGGGTTCCTGGCGCGAAAATCGCTAACTTGGGAACCAGGGAAGCTAGAAGGCTGAAATTTTCAGGGAATATTCCCAGCACATGTACAACCTAAAATTAACGAATTCAGCCCCCAGACATGGTTATAACGTAAGGCCCCGTGAAATTTTTTGGCGAGAAAATGGCTAACTCGGAAACCAGGAAAGCTGGGAGGCTGGAATTTTCAGGGAATTTTCTCAGCTTATGTACAACAAAAATCTGTTAGATTGAGCCTTCACGCATTCGTGGTTCTCACATACGGTCCCGTAAAATTTTTTGGCAGAAAAATGCCAACCTGGGAAATGGGAAAGCTGAGAGCTGAAGTTTTAAGGGTATGTTCCCAGCCCCCGTAAAAGTTCAAGATATCAAATTCAGCTCCCAGATACGTGTGGTTCTCATGTACAGACCCATGAAATTTCTTGGTAGGAACCGCGTAGACAGTTAACTTTTCGAACTTCGAGGACCTGTATGTCATAAATCCTAGCTACGGGGTTTCCGAGCGACCTCATTATAGCACGAAATACTGCGAAGACGAATGTTCGCACGAGCCTGACCGGTGCGCGTCGCCAATGATTTATTTGCATACTTACTTATTTTGTTGCTGTCTTACTGTGTGGGCAAGTCTTAACAAAAACCGCTCACTGGCAAGGCAATAGATGGCTCCTTTCCTCGGCTTTGCTTAATTGCAAGCCAGTGATGATTTTAACGGCAATTATTATACGTTTTTTGCAGCTATGCAATGCAGAAAACGCATATTGACGAGAGGTTC